TAATAATGCTATTATCATATTCTATACAATGTTATAATTATTGTTAATTTTTTAATAAATAATATTAAATAAATTAATAAGTATACAATGTTATATAATGGTAACATATTTAATAATAAATAGAATAATAATATATTATATAGCATATATTATAGAGTACATGTAATATAATATAAAATGCAAAATATTACATAATAAATAATATTATATATTATATAATACATAATATAATATTATTATGTAAAATAATTTATTAATACTAAAATAATTTATTGCTAACAAATGTTAACGTAATAATAATATTAATATAATATAAATAATTTATTAATACTAAAATAATTTATTGCTAACAAATGTTAACGTAATAATAATATTAATTAATATAATAAGTTATTAATAATAAAATAATTTATTGCTAACAAATGTTAGTGTAATAATAATATTATTAATAATACAATAATGTTTATTTATATAATAAATTATTAATATGCTGTTAAAGTAATTATTAATATACTCTAACATATTAGAAACTATAATATATTATCTTATGTTGAAATATTTAAAAAATATCAATTTATAAGTAATATACTGCTGGTAATAAATAATAATAATAGTAATAATATATTTTATTAATAATATAATAATAATATAGTAATAATAAAATAATATTATTTTAAAAATATTATATAATATATTGCAATAACAAATTAATATAGCAAAATAATTAAATGTATTTTTTCTGAAAATAATATGCAATAATTATAATATAATATAGTACATTAAAGTACTATTTTGTATTATATTTGCTATTATCATATATTTAGTACTAATATTACAGCATGTCAAACAATTGTTGCCCTAAAACACTCGGCATGATGTTTTGAAAATACTTTAGAGGAAAACACAAGACCATTGTGTTTTTTCATAAAAACACATGGAAAACAAGATGGTATCTAAACGGAGCCTAGTTAGTGGCAAACTGAGAGATTTTGGGAACTAATTTCATAACATTTAACAACTTTAGGGCCTAACTTAAAAAATATGAACATTTAAAAGTAATTTCAAAATACATAAAGATTTGGGAGGTTAATTTCCAAACACGAAGATGCTGGCGAAGGAACGATGAGAATTCGGTTATAGGGTTACAAACCTCTCGATCGGTAGATACTCGCGACGAGCCTGACCTTGCGGGTATGGGCCATGATAATCTTGTCCTTAGGGTTTTGAATGGGCTACTCCAAGGCCTTATTTTTTTTCTTCTTGTTTCTTGTGCTCAAAGTTGATCAAAGGGTTTACAGGAAAACAAAAATAAAGTTTTACGACGGATAACCAAATTTACATCCATTTAAAGGATCCCCTTTGGGAGCACCTACACAGCAAAGATTCTCATACACAACTGCAGTACATAAGTAGACAAGTTCACGGCACAAATGGACGGATAACCCCCCTTTGGAAGCCTCCATACCTTATTCCATACTACCAAACACAATCACCAAACATGACATACAATCACCCTTGCGACCTCAAGTTCGCCGGCCGGCGAGAGGAGGCCCGGTAGGGCGCCAGGCGACGGCGGCGAGGTGCAGAGAGCCGAGCGCTGCCTGATCTCCGAAGCCCGGAACCTTCCAGAACCTCCCGGAAGCCGGATATAGGAGGCAGGTGGGGACTCGTTGAACCATGTACCCCCCAGAGGAGCCCCTCCTCCATTCCTATATTGAACTATTGCTTTGTACACATATGGGATGAGTCCTTCCATTTTGAGGGCTGAAAAGTTTTAGAGAAGAGCTTGAACGAGTAAGCAGAGAGGGGGAGGGGGTGTTGGTTTAAAAGGCTTGAAAGGTGATCTTACTCGGTCTCGTACAAGAAACAAACTCAAAAAAGAAAAGTTCTGCTCATGTTAACATCTCACCAAATCCTCTCTCTTTCACTCTTATTAATAGATAATGCTGGGTTTGGTAAATTTTGTATGGGTTTTTTTTTTTTTTTGGAAGTATAGATGAGTATTTCTACTGGTGGACAAATTTTGAATTGTTACTTCTCTTACACTCTGATCAAATCGATGATTATGAGGAGTAATCTTTGTATATCTTTTTGGTGAGCGGTTGCTTTCAATAAAACGACTTGGCTGGAGCCCTAGTGGATGATGATGTAAACCGCGAGCCTCATGAAGTTTGGAAATCATTTTTATTTTTCCTTTGGGGGTTTATTTAGTGCAGGCTTATAGACGAAGACGTAGACCAAAGCAGGATCATGTAAGATAAAGATAATACAGCAAATTATTATATGCCTTCAGTTAAAAAACTTACATCTGCAGTGACATTAAGGTAATAATTGACAAATGATTAACCGAGTAATTAGGAAGGTTCAACTCCAGCTTAACTTTCAAAATGCAAAAAATATGCATATGAAGTACAAATTAGTGTTAAGTGAAAAATAAAAGGGTAAAAAATTAAGATAGTTTTTGTACCGGGATTAAAAAGAGTCGACCCTTACCAGAGAGCTTTACTAATCCTCTTTCATAGTTTTATGCATTTACCAACTTGCTACATCGAAAGCAACCCAACACCTTAAAGCAAAACCAGAGGCATCTTCTAAAGTATCAAAGCCATTTAAGGTGCTCTAATTGAGAAAGAAACAGAAACCAAAATTAGCAAAAATAAGTTATCATAGAATTAACCACAATTGTTGATGGGTTTTCCTGATGAGAAGACAAAATGTGGGAGAATGCAAAAAAGCCGCGAGCTATTGAGGCGTGCGTGAAATAGTATTATGCTACTAAAATCTGGCCTCATTGTTTGTGTCATCTCCTCAACTGCCGTACCAAATTTCAAATCCTTATCTCTATTGACATATGTAATCCTCATCTCTGTTGACGTTTGTTTGCATGCAAGAAGGCCGCGTGGTCTTCTCCTAAAACAATGGAAATGCACGTAAAGTCGTTGCCTTCTAATTACAGGCCTTAGTTTTCTTTATGCTGATGCATCAAGGTTAGCAATGACGACGATGATATGAAAACAACACCAAAGGCAAAAACAGCTGCAATCCGCTGACTTGATTTAAAGATGTCACAAAACAACCATGAATCGTGCAATAAAATTAACCCCTGAATGTGGTTAGCGGTCTTCTTGTTCGATGTATTCGAAACTATAATGTTACCTCTAACTATGGGGTTGTTTGATTTGCTACAACTGTAATTGCAATGCGATTAC